GGCTGAGTCGACCTTGAGCCTGGTGAGAATTGAACTCGCAGTAATTGCAGGCAGCTGGATGTTAAATGCTGCCTTAGTAGGAGGCCTTAGCCTCCTACGCCACTCAGGCTCCTAACTGGCTTCTACAGTTTGTCTTCAAATCTGGTATAGATTCATATTTAAATACATGTGTGATCAAAAACATACAAAAGCTCTTGTAATAACATATGATTGGCTTGCTGCCACAGAATTATATTTCTCTTCTTCTGGATATCATGCATTTTTTGCTGTTATGAATGGTAACTAAAAGAGATTTTTACACACATACATTTCAGATAGAATTGTTAAAGTTCAATTGTTTACAGAATGTAACAATTGTTTTGTATTTCTTTTCCTTCCCCTTAATAGAGATACCAAGATCCAAGATGTGGCTGATTTACAACTCCTATTGGGGTGGGGGTGTCTTCAAAGAAAGTTGTAGCATAGCTATGTTTACAGAGTCAAGAGTTTCCATGTCATAGTTTTATACTAATTTTCTTACTATTTTCTTTCATTCACCTTACGGGTAGTTCTTGACTTACAACCACAATTGAGCCCAACATTTATGTTGCTAAGTGAGAAATTTGTTGAGTGAGTTTTGCAACTTTTTTTGCCACAGTTAAGTGAACCACTGCTGTTAAATTAGTCACACGGTTGTTAAATGAATCTGGCTTCCGATTGACTTTGCTTGGCATATGCTATGGGGCCCTTGAAATATTAAGGATCCCCAGGGAACCATATGGCCCTCATTTGAGAATCTGATTTGGACAACGTTCAACAAGAAAGAGGGATTTGCTGCAACCTATTATACAAGCAATCCTCAAGTTACAATTGGGAATAGAATTTCTGTTGCTAAGCAAGGCAACAGAAATGAGTCACATCTGATTTTATGATCTTTTTTGGCCATTGTTAAGTAAACTACATGTTAATTAAGAGAATCCAGCTTTCTCTTGTGACTTTGCTTGCCAGAAACTGGCTGAGAAGGTTGTAAATGGCGATCACATGTATTTATTTATTTATTTATTTGATTTGATTTCTATACCGCCCTACTCCCGAAGGACTCAGGGCAGGACAGCCAAACAATAAAATACATACATACAAAATTTAAAAGTGGAATTAAAATCAAATTAAATAGTTTTGGCCCAGACAAATTAAAACCCCAATCAATTTAAAACCAATTTTAAAATTTGAATATATAAAATACTAAAAAATATTGAAAATTAAAAATCTTTTATAAAAGAGGGAGAAAATTAGGCCAGACCTGCCTGGTGAAATGAAAAGGTCTTTAAAGCGTGGCGGAAGGTGCGCAGATCCGGGATCCTCCGTATCTCCGAGAGCTCGTTCCAGATAGTAGGTGCCCCCACAGAGAAAGCTCTCCCCCTGGGGGCCGCCAGTCGGCATTGTTTGGCCCACAGCACCCGGAGGAGCCCCTCTCTATGGGAGCATACCGGCTGGTGGGAGGCTATTGGTAGTAGTAGGCGGTCCCGCAAGTACCCAGGTCCTGAGCCATGGAGCGCTTTAAAGGTAGTAACCAAAACCTTGAAGCGCACCCGGAAGACCACCGAGAGCCAGTGCAGCTCGCGCAGGAGGGGTGTTACATGGGAACGCCATATCGCTCCCATTACCACCCGCGCGGCCGCACTTTGCGCCAGTTGGAGCCTCCAGGTGCTCCTCAAGGGGAACCCCATGTAGAGAGTATTACAATAGTCCAGACGGGAGGTGACGAGGGCATGAGTGACTGTGCGTAAGGAGTCCCGATCCAGAAAGGGACGCAACTGGCGGATCAGGCGAACCTGATGAAAAATCCTCCTGGTCACGGCCGTCAAGTGCTCTTCTAAAGACAGCCGTGAATCCAGGAGGACGCCCAAGTTGCGCGCCCTCTCCGTGGGGGCCAATGATACTGGGGTGCTGCAACCACAGCAAATACATGTTAGTGGTAGTTGCCAAGTGCTTGAATTTTGATCACTGTGGGGATACTTGACAGTTGTTAAGTGTGACAACCATTGTTACTTCTCCACCCGTACATCTCCACCCCGGGCCACCCCAATGATGCCCTTGAAGTGATGTCCCGGTGTCCGGAGGCCGTGCGGATCTGGATGGGGAGGAAGAGGCTCAGGCTCAACCCATCCAAGACTGAGTGGCTGTGGTTCCCGGCATCCCGATATAGTCAGTTGACTCCATCACTGACTATTGGAGGCGAGTCGTTGGCCCCCATGGAGAGGGCGCGCAACTTGGGCATCCTCCTGGATACGCAGCTGTCCTTGGAGGAACATCTGATGGCTGTGGCCAGGGGGACTTTTTATCAGGTTCGCCTGATCCGCCAGTTGCGGCACTTCCTAGATCGGGATTCCTTGTGCACAGTCACTCATGCGCTCGTCACCTCTCGCCTGGACTACGGCAACGCTCTTGTTAGAAAAGTTTTAGTTTAGATTGTAGAGGTCAATAAGATCTTGGAATGTCCCAGCAGCTACAATTAAGCCAGATTTCTTTTATCAAGAAAAACGTTGTTTATTTAAAATCAATAAACTATTTACATTTTAAATCACAGAACATTGTATCTTGGTCTTTATTTATTTCTGAGGTAAATGTGCCTAGAGCATAATCCTTTCTTCTCTCTTTTCTCCTGTGTGTCTCCTCTTTGTCTCCCAAATGTGTGTGGGTAAAGGGAGTCATATTTATAGAGTGGCTAAGCCACTCCCCCTTCAGTCCCTTAGACAAAATGGAGGGAAAGTATAAACACAAAACCATCCTTCCAGTATAGACAGTGTGGTTCAGTGGCACTGTTTCAGATAATTATCTGACAGCTCTCTACATGGGGCTCCCCTTGAAGAGCACCCAGAGACTTCAGCTGGTCCAGAATGTGGCCACACGGGTAGTGACGGGAGCTGCATGGCGCTCCCACATAACACCCCTCCTGCGTGAGCTGCACTGGCTCCCAGTGGTCTTTCAGGTGCGCTTCAAGGTGTTGGTCATCACCTTTAAAGCGCTCCATGGCTTAGGACCTGGATACCTTTGAGACCGTCTGCTGCCACCACCGACCTCCCACCGACCGATGCGCTCCCACAGAGAGGGCCTCCTTAGGGTGTCATTGGCCAAGCAATGTAGACTGGTGGCCCCCAGGGGGAGGGCCTTCTCTGTGGGGGCACCTGCTCTCTGGAATCAACTGCCCCCAGAGATAAGAAGAATTCAAGACCTCGGTGCCTTCCACTGTGCCCTGAAGACCTTCCTTTTTCAGCAAGCCGGGCTGGCTTAATGCTTTTTAAATGTTTTTAATATGTCTTGTTATTGTTTTTTAACTTTGGGGCCAAATTTATATATATCTTTTTAAATTGCTTTTAATGTTTGTATTTATGTTTTTTACTTTGGCTGTACACCGCCCTGAGTCCTTCGGGAGAAGGGTGGTCTATAAATTTAATAATAAATAAATAAATAAAATACTTGAAATGGTCACTAAAAATGGTTGTAAATGGGACTATCTATAAAAGCAGTAGCAAACTACAGTACTTCTCTTGTAAACTCTGTTGTCCTGTGATTCTGATGACTAGCAGTTTCAGTTCTGCCAGTGCTGTAGCACAATACATTATCTAGGGTCAATAATGCTGGGCTGGTACAGTTTGTTCCTGAACATATTGAACCAAGTAATGGCTGAAGTCAACATGATGCAAAGTGTCCTGAATGTGGGGAGGGAAGCATCATAGTGGCCAATGAGAGAAATTGCCTGCCATGTAATAAGAGCACACAAAAAGTGCAACTAATAAAATTGTCACTGTAATTTGAGACGCATTTTTGCATTTGCTTGCCTATTTTTTTTGACAATTTTTTTTTCAGATGTTCAATTAAATTTCAACAAATGGTAAACATGATATTTGAGCCAATCTCTCTCTCTCTCAGCCTAATCCACTCACAAGATTGTTGTGTGGAAAATAGGAGAAAATAAGTGTTTGCCACCTTGAGTTATTTGTAAAAATAATGAAGGTGGGATACACAAATAAATAAATAGGTAGTCTGCAGCTTTATTCGGCATAAACTCTTGCGGACCAGTTCATTTTATCCAATGCATGGAATATAATCCTGAACAGCATATGTTAACAATGTTGATTTGTTCGTGTTCCAGCTATTCCACATTGTGGTTTGACCGGTTGTTTTAATCTCTCTTGGTATATGTTTTTGTTTTGTGATTGCATATGCAATATGCTTGCTACAAAAGAGAAGCATGTTGTCTGCAGGAATCCCTCATTTTTTGCAATTAATTTCCAGCTTTTTTAGGAGGCATAAAAAGTATGTTTTGATTTTGAGAATGCCTGTTGACTATAATTCTGTTTTCGTATCAATTCCGTGCTAGTTTTTATATTTGCAATTCTGTAACGCTTACTTGGAAGTAAATTTAAATGAGTATGACATCTCTAAGTAAATCCCATACGAAAAGGTATATTCTTCCCCTTTCTACTTTCTCCTCCCGATTTGCACACGAAATAACAACTTTTTCCCGCGATCACGTTTCAAAAACTTCAAGGTTTAGGTTAGAAAAGTTAAGCCACCATGCTCTCCACAACCAATCCGCGCTTGAAAGTAAACCAAAGAGCATGCGTCGATCAACAAAAACTACAATTCCCAGGAGGCTTCTTGCAATGGTAGTTAACTTTCGGAAATAATAAATTATTTCACAATCAAATTCCCGCTTTTTGGTGGATTTTTAATTCATTGTCCCGCTGTGGAGGTCCACTTGGCTATATCTTGTTCCTCATGACCATGTTCCGCATTCTGTTAAAAAAAAAAAAAAGATTGGGAAAAACAACACAGAAATGGATAGAACGGTTTTGTTTTTTTTTAGAACCATTTTTTTTTGTGTGTGGTGGTTTCGTTTGTTTTTGGGGGGGGGCGGCGAAGTCTATAGACGCATGCGCAAAAATAGAGCCCGTGAAACGGGAAATTGATTCCGCGGATTGCGCGTGCGTTAACTTCCCACCGCTCAGTGCGCACGCGCTAGTCGCCTAGCTGTAGGAAGTTCACCGTGCGCGGTTTCTGCGTCATTTTTAGGCGCGCATGCCGCCTTTATTTATTTATTTATCTATCTATCTATCTATCTATTTATCGTTTAGCGAGCCTGCGTCGAGAGTTATTCTGCACGGACTTTTAAACGGTAGGGGGGTCAAGTGTTTGTCGCGGTAATGGGAATTTACTGGAATAAAGGGGTGAAGAAGTTTATTAATTGCACTGATTATAATTGTACCGTGTCGCCCCCTACTGGTTTCCTTTGCATGTTGAGGATTTATTCTATGCTGCGGCGTTATGTGGTCGATCATTGCAATACAGGGAGTCCTCGACTTGCAACAGTTCATTTAGTAACCGCTCAAAGTGACAGCCAACTGAAAAAAGTGACTTATGACCACTTTTCACACCATGCAGGACCCCCCCCCCATGGTCACGTGATCAAAAGTCATGCTTGGCAACTGACTCATATTTAGGACAGTTGCAGTGTCCCAGGTCATCGGATCCACTTTTGCAAGCTTCTGACAAGTCAAAGTCAACGGAGAATCCAGATTCACTTAACAACCATGTTACTAACTTAACATAAGCAATGATTCGCTTAATAACTGTGGCCAAAAAAAAGGGGTCGTAAAATGAGGCAAACTCACTTAACAAATGTTTCACCTAGCAACATAAATTTTGGACTCGATTGTGGTGGTCGTAACTTGAGGACTACCTGTATATAGTGATGCCCCTTCTTTCAACCAACACATGAGAATCCGTACTGTATCTTGAAAGAGATGGCAGATTCTCCTGTTTTCTTCGGATGTAAGAAATGTAAGGTCGTATTGTTCAGTGAAAGTGTACAAAGTAACATGTTTTTGACAGCAAGTGTATAAATTGCAGTTGTCTGAATGCATCTTACTCTGTAAACGTGCATGCTGGATTTGCAAATGATAGTTGGAAGTCATATGTGTATTTATGCCTTTTCTGTCTGTTGGGGTGTAAATCTGCTTCCAGAGCTCTTAGGTCAGCCATGATGGGATGCTTGTTTAATAAGGATGTTAAAGTTCAACTTTGTTCATGCCAAGGAGACAACATCTCTCAGGGTGAAGTTGAATGCAACTAAAAACATACAGAAATTAAAACGGTCAATTTAAACTAGCGAATTCTGCTTTTAAAATAAAATATGCACCTCATATCTGCTGAATATTCAGAAAATAAGTACATTTAATACAGTTTATTCTGCAAATATAAACACAGGAATACAAGATGAAGCTGGTCCCCAGGCTACTTTATCTAATAAAAATAGATGAAAACTTTCCCAAGGTTTCTAGACATACTTTATTCATTTGTTTCTTTGTATTTCATGTTTCTTAAAGTCCATACTTACTAGATGGACTTTAATAAACACAGAGTTGTTTTATAAGCAAAATCTTCGCTAATTTCCAGATTAAAGTTAGTTCTTCCCATGATACAGGAAAACACTATCACCAAGACAAATTCCTTGTGTGTCCAATCTCACTTGGCCAATAAAGAATTCTATTCTATTCTATTCTATTCTATTCTATTCTATTCTATTCTATTCTATTCTATTCTATTCTATTCTATTCTATTCTTCTATTCTGTTCTACATTATGAAAACTTATTTGCACCAAATGTAGGATATGCTAAAAGTACTTGTCTGTGGAGAGATTCTCAGTCATCCAGGTCATTTTGTCTCAAAGTTGCCTTTTCAAAAGGTAATTGGACTGTTTTTTTCCAATGACCTTTTGAAAAAGCACCTTTGAGACTGAAAGTGCTGTATTCCTTTATTAATGTTTTAAGATTTAGCAATGTAGTCTTTCCAAAATGTTATAATGACAATTGATTTGAGAGAAGTTCCTTTCTCCCATTTTACATTTCCTTCAGCAACATGGCTTTGGTATCAGCTGATTCCAGAATTGCTGAGCTCCTAGGAGAACTGCACCAGCTTATCAAACAGACCCAGGTAATGTGATCTCACACACACACACGCCCCAATATTAAGGCTGTATGTAACACGAGCTTACTTAGCTTATCATAGCCAATGATGTGGAAAGGAGAAGTCTTCCCTTTTGCATTTTTAGAAAGGGAGGGTATCTTTTCATTTGGGCCCACATCTTGTTTTAGTAACGCACCAAAGTGTCTATATAATAATGAGGAGGGGAAAGCATGAAACTGGTGTGGTGGGATAACTTCAAGCCAAGGAATACACCCTGTGTGCTAAAATAAAAATCACTTTGTCCAAATAATTAACCAGAAACTCTTTTTGTTGCTAGGAGGAACGATCAAGAAGTGAACATAATCTTGTGAATATCCAGAAAACACATGAACGGATGCAGACAGAGAACAAGAGTGAGTGGAAAATGCCAACCTTATAACACTTTCCCTAGAAATCCTTTGTGATGCAACATTTTGAGTCTGTTGTATTCCCCAGGTGCTAGAGAGAGTCAGTTGAGCCAGTTTATTCAACTACCATTACTCTTTAACAACTGCTAAGAGTAGCAATGGCCATGGAGGTTCTGAAGCTTGTAGGCAGTGGGAGTCATTCTTTGCTGCATCTAAAAGGCAACAGGCAACAGAGAAATTAAACAATTTAGTGACTGCAGAAAGAATACTCTGGAGTTGGAAAAGGTTTGGAGCTAAAGTTTTCCTCTTAGAGGAAAATGGGTGAGCGTTTTCTAGAAAATCTTGAATTGGAAAATGTTCTGGCCAATTGCTTGTGCATATTAAATTAATTTGCAGTAGATGGTCCTTAGGGCTGCTCATTCTTCCTGAATTCTACCTCACAAGAGACCAATTTGCAAAGTGTATTTTGAGAATGAAATAATACGGTCCATTTTGCAGATTGAAACAATAATATGCTTTCAGTAATGAATAATGAATGATTATGTCATTGATATATATATATATATATATATAGAAATGGAAACAAATAAATACATTTTAAACCTAGTTTTAAAATGTATTGTTGTTTTTCCCTACCCACACCACACTTAGGGCCCTCTCGACCCTGCACTGAGTAATAAAATGGTGCTTTTTAAATTATTAAAAAAGGATAAACAGACAGCAAATTGAATATATACAGAATTATGTATAATATAGAGTACGTCATCTAGCTAATGAATGGGCTTCCCATGACTTGCTGAGCATTGTAGAAAATTAAACTTGTTGGGCTGTTGTTACATATCAGAACAAATGATCTTATTTTCTATTATATTCTTTAGGCTTTAGATCTTTCCCATGTCTTCTATATGAGATGATGATGTTGTTAGTTGCGAAGTCGTGTCCAACCCATCGCGATCCCATGGACAACGTTCCTCCAGGCCTTCCTGTCCTCTACCATCCTCTGAAGTCCATTTAATCTCACGCCTACTGTTTCAGTGACTCCATCCAGCCACCTTGTTCTTTGTCGTCCCCTTCTTCTTTTGCCCTCAATTTTTCCCAGCATTAGGCACTTCTCCAGGGAGTCCTTCCTTCTCATTAGGTGGCCAAAGTTTTTGAGTTTCATCTTCAGGACCTGGCCTTCTAAAGAGCACTCAGGGTGGATCTCCTCTAGGATTGACTGGTTTGATCGCCTTGCAGTCCAAGGGACTCACAGGAGTCTTCTCCAGCACCATAGTTCAAAGGCCTCAATTCTTTGGCGCTCAGCTTTTCTTATGGTCCAACTTTCACAGCCATACATTGCAACTGGGAAAACCATAGCCTTGACTAAAGACACTTTTGTTGGCAGGGTGATGTCTCTGCTTTTTAGTATGCTGTCTCGATTTACCATAGCTTTCCTCCCCAGGAGCAAGTGCCTTTTAATTTTTTGGCTGTAGTCCCATCTGCAGTGATCTTGGAGCCTAGGAAAATAAAATCTGTCACTACCTCCATTTCTTCCCCATCTGTTTGCCAGGAATTGAGAGGGCCGGATGTCATGATCTTAGTTTTCTTAATGTTGACTTTCAAGCCAACTTTTGCATTCTCCTTCTTCACCCGCATCAAGAGGCTCTTTAGTTCTTCTTCACTTTCTGCCATTAAAGTGGCATCATTTGCATATCTAATAAATAAAATAAAATGGCTGTTAAGTGAATTTCGTTGTATGGGTATACTGTGTATACATGTACAGTGACAATAAAGTTATTTATTTTATTTTATTTATTATATCTGAGGTTGTTGATATTTCTCCCAGCAATCTTAATTCCAACTTTTGATTCATCTAGCCCCGCCTTTCTCATGATGTGCTCTGCATATAAGTTAAATAGGCAGGGCAACAGTATACAGCCTTGCTGGACTCCTTTCCCAATTTGGAACCAATCAGTGGTTCCGTGTCACAGTTCTCACTGTTGCTTCTTGACCCGCATATAGGTTTCTTAAGAGACAAATAAGATGGTCTGGTACTCCCATCTCTTTAAGAACTTGCCACAATTTGTTGTGATCCACACAGTCAAAGGCTTTAGCATAGTCAATGAAGCAAAAGTAGATGTTTTTCTGGAATTCCCTAGCTTTCTCCATGATCCAGCCTATGTTGGCAATTTGATCTCTAGTTTCTCTGCCTCTTCGAAATCCTGCCTGTACTTCTGGTAGTTTTCAATCCACATACTGCTGGAGCCTAGCTTGTAGGATTTTAAGCATAACCTTACTAACATGTGAAATGAGTGCAATGGTGCGATAGTTTGAACATTCTTTGGCATTGCCTTTCTTTGGAATTGGAATGTAAACAGACCTTTTCCAATCCTGTGGCCACTGTTGAGTTTTCCAAATTTGCTGACAAATTGAGTTTAGCACTTTTACTGCATCATCTTTTAAGATTTTGAATAGCTCAGCTGGAATACTGTCACCTTCACTAGCTTTGTTGTTGCTCAGACTTCCTAAGGACCATTTGAACTTCACATTCTAGGATGTCTGGCTCAAGGTCAGTGGCCACCTCATCATGGTTATCAGGGATGTGAAGTTCGTTTTTGTATGGTTCTGTGTAATTTTGCCACCTCTTCTTGATCTCTTTTGCCTCTGTTAGGTCCCTGCCATTTTGGTCCTTTGTCATGCCCATCTTTGCATAAAATGTTCCCTTCATATCTCTAATTTTCTTGAAGAGATCTCTGGTCCTCCCTATTCTATTGTTTTCTTCTATTTCTTTGCACTGTTCATTTAAGAAGGCATCCTTATCTCTTCTAAGTATTCTCTGGAATTCTGCATTCAATTTTCTCCCTTGCCTTTTGCTTCCCTTCTTTCCTCAGCTATTTGCAAAGCTTCCTCAGACAGCCATTTTTCTTTCTTGCATTTCTTTTTCTTTGGAATGGTTTTAATTGCTACCTCTTGTACAATGTTGCGAACCTCCATCCATAGTTCTTCAGGTACTCTGTCTATCAGATCTAATTCCTTAAATCTATTTGTCACCTCTACTGTATATTAATCATGGATATGATTTAGTTCATACCTGAGTGGCCTAGTGCTTTTCCCTACTTTCTTTAATTTAAGCCTAAATTTTGCAACGAGAAGCTCATGATCTGAGCCACAGTCAGCTCCTGGTCTTGTTTTTACTGACTATATAGAGCTTCTCCATCTTTGGCTGCAGAGCACATAGTCAATCTGATTTCTGTGTTGACTGTCTGGTGATGTCCATGTGTAGAGTCGTCTCTTGGGTTCTTGGAAAAGAGTGTTTGCTATGACCATCGTATTCTCTTGACAAAATTTTGCCAGCCTCTGCCCTGCTTCATTTTGTACTCTTAAGGCCAAACTTGCCTGTTATTCCGGTTATCTTTTGGCTTCCTACTTTAGCACTCCAATTCCCCATGATGATAAGGACATCTTTTTTTGGTGTTAATTCTATAAGGTGCTCGAGGGCTTTATAGAACCGGTCAATTTCATCCTCTTCAGCACCAGTGGTTACAGCATAGACTTGGACTACTGTGATATTGAATGGTTTGCCTTGGATTCAAACTGAGATCATTCTGTCATTTTGGGGATCATATCCCAGTATTGCTGTTCCTACTCTTTTATTGACTATGAAGGCTACTCCATTTCTTCTAAGGGATTCGAACTGAGATCATTCTGTCATTTGGGTGATTGTATCCCAGTATTGCTTTTCCTACTCTTTTTTTGACTATGAAGGCTACTCCATTTCTTCTAAGGGATTTTTGTCCGCAGTAGTATACCTGATGGTCATCTGAATTAAATTCACCCATTCCTGTCCATTTTAGTTTGCTGATTCCTAAGATGTCGATGTTCAGTCTTTTCATCTCTTGTTTGACCATGTCCAGCATGCCTTGATTCATGGATCTTACATTTCAGGTTCCTATGGGGAATAGATCTTTACAGCATCGGACTTTCCTTTCACCACCAGATGCATCCACAGCTGAGTGTCCTTTTGGCTTTGGCCCAGTTGCATCACTCTTTCCGGCGCTACTAGTATTAGCCCTCTGCTCTTTCCCAATAGCATATTGGACACCTTCCGACCTGAGGGGCTCATCTTCCAGCGTCATATCTTTTTTCCTTTTAGTACTGTCCATGGGGTTTTCATGGCAAAGAAACTGGAGTGAGTTGCCGTTTCCTTCTCAAGTGGGTCATGTTTTGTCAGAGCTCTCTGCTATCACCTGTCTGTCTTGGTGGCCCTGCACGGCATAGCTCATAGCTTCATTGAGCTACACAAACCCCTGTGCCATGACAAGGCAGTAATCCATGAAAGAGTCTGTACAAGATACTCTTAGTCAAAATAGAAATTTGCCTGATATATGTAGAATATATGGTATATTTGATTTTAGCTTAATGTGTTAGGTGAGCCTGACTTGTCACTTCTAACTTTAGATTATGGCTCACAGTGTTGTGTTAATTCAGTTTTAATATATTCAGACAAACTTGACGAAACAAACTTTGGCTTAGAACATCTGTGGAGATTCTCAGTCATCCAGGTCATGGTTGCCCCAAAGATGCTTTTTCAGGAGGCAATTGGACTTCCTTGTTTTTTGTTTTTTTTTTGAAGACGTTTTGCTTCTCATCCAAGAAGCTTCTTCAACACTGAATGGATGGTAGGAAATGGAAGGATTTATATTCCTTGCTGACAGCTGGTCATTTGCATTCTTCTAGAGAGTCCTTGAAAATAAATCCTTCCATTCCCACCATCCAGTTAGAGTAGAAGAAGCTTCTTGGATGAGAAGCGAAATGTTTTCAAAGAAAAACAAGAAAGTCCAGTTCCCTCCTGAAAACGCACCTTTGGGACTTGGCTTAGAACAATAGATAATTAGATTTTTATGGGACCTCAATATTACCTGCCTGTGTTTCTTCTGTCTAGTCTCTCCATATTATCGGACGAAATTACGTGGCCTTTATACAACAGCTAAGGCTGATGCAGAAGCTGAATGCAAGTGAGTATATCTCATTTGAATGCTTCTGAGGAGAGAAAGAGACTCTTTTTCATGTTGCTTCTTTGCCCTCTTTACCCAGCATCCTGCGCAAGGACTTGGACAAGATTGCTGAGATAAAATCTCTTCTGGAAGAACGGCGAATTGGTGAGTGATGAAAAGCTCTGAATAAGGAAGAGCAAATGGGATGCTTGAGCTGTTGCAAAAATATTGGGTGCTATCCCAAGATTTAAAAAGTTTTAATTATTCAAGCAGCCTAAAAAAAGTATGCATGTGCATTTTTTGTGTGGACTTGTCTTCCATTAATAAAGATAGTCTTCAAGTACGATAGCAACTGGGATCAAAATTTCTGTTGCTAAGCGATGCAGTTATAAATCGTGACTGCATTGCTTAGTGACAACAATCCTTACAATTCCAATGTCCATTAACTGAATTCAGCAGTTGTTATGCAAGGACATCCTCGCAACAAGGAGGTGCAGTGGCTTAATGATGCTGGAGACGGTTCTCAGTTCTGGTGGTTTGAACCCTAGCATTGCGTGGCAGGGTGAGTTCCTGTCACTCGCCTCAGCTTCTGTCCATCTAATAGTTTGAAAGCATGTTCTATGCAAGTAGTTAGATAGGTACCACTTCGGGGGTGGGGGGGGGGAGACACAAACTGGTGCTCTGTGCAGGCAGTCAGTTCTTATGGTGTGAACCTTCCCTGTTGCAGTGGCTGCATATGAAGCAGCTCTGGGAAGAGAAGAAGGCCTTGGGTGAAGCTGCAGGAAAAGCCATTCGTCTTTCCAGTGTGAAGCCAGCTCGCCCTCCTCTGGTGGACCTTGGGAAGTGCCCAAGCATTTCCTATAAGCGGGCTGGTACCTTGGCAAGCCAAACTAGTATTCTGTAATACAATTGTGGTCTCCTGGCTATTGTATTAGCCATACACTATTCATCACCATTACCATCATCATCCTCGCAACTTCCAGTTGGCTTCCCACAATTAAAGTCGTTGGGGAAGCCAGTTGGGAGTTGCAAGGCCCAAGCAGTTTGCAAACAGGCAAGTAGATAAGAGGGAGAGTGTGTGAGGGAGGTGAAGCTTAGGGGGATGTGCAGGGATGCCAGTATGTGGAGTGGCCAGTGTGGAACAAGAGCAGATGGGCTAGGAGAAATGGTGTGGGTGGGAGAGAATTATCCCAGGGACTTGCAACCTTCCTTGCCGGCTTCCCCATTGATGGGGAAGCCAACAAATTGCAATCAGGGCTTGCAGAGCACAACAACCAATTTCAAGAATGAGCTGGTTGCTAAATGCCCAGATTAAAATCATATGATTGCAAGGGTGCTGGGATAGATGGAACTTTGAGAACCAGTCATAACCACCATTTATTAAGCACCATCGAAATTTTAGTCACTCAACAAATGGTCATAAGTCAAGGACAACCTGTACTCAAGTCTAATGTTTCAGATTGCCTGCAGAAATTGTGAATGGTCCAACACTGGAAATTTTTAAAAAGATGTTGGATAACCATTTGTCTGAAGTGGTGTAGGGTTTCCTGCCTGTGCAGGGGGTTGGACTAGAAGACCTCCAAGGTCCCTTCCAACTCTGTTATTCTATTTCTATTCTATTTCTATTTCAGATCTGGATTGCAAACATTTAGTCATCAGAAGGTAGCAAATAAATATAAGTGTAATACTTCAATGCCTTGCTGCCATTTAGTGGTTATCTATATTTTTGCAGTCCAGTTCTGGTAATCCTAATCTGCTTGTTCCAGAAAGAAATTGAATAAGAATTCTTTGCTGCTTCCAAGAAATAGGTAGAAAAATTGGGAAAAGATGAAGTGTTACTTTGATGAGGCTAATTGGCTTCTGTTGCTGGGTTAAAAAAAAAATCATTCTAAATCTATTTAGAATCTAAATCTAGTCTTTAAGTATATTTGAGGAACAAGCTGATTCATGGCAAACCAAACTATTGGGCCATATTTAACAAACTATGTGCAGAATAGCACGTAAACCCAAACAGATCCTGAATAAGTTGGGGAATGATGCTCAATTTGTTTATTTATTTATTTATTGGTTTGATTTATATGCCGCCCTTCTCCGGAGACTCAGGGCGGCTTACAATGTGTTAAGCAATAGCCTTCATACTTTTGTATATACCTGCTTAGTAGGGCTTTCATTTTACCTACCTCGGAAGGGTAGGGATAGGACCAAACACTTTTCTGAAGTAAATTTACAAGAAATTCACTGCCGTAAGCTGATATTTGCCTGGAGTGTTCAATATGTAAACAAAGTGAGAAATTTGATGTATTGATTCATGCAATTCCCTGTGACAAGGCAATGAAAAGTCTTTGCAACATCAGCTCTTCTTTTTATTTAGATTATATCTCTCCTTACATTCAAGACCTCAAGTTTGCCTACACAGTGCTCCCGTCTCTTCTTTCATATTGTTTTAGGGCAAAAAGTTACTGTGTTCTTGATATGGAAGTGAATAAGATTGACAGGTTTATCTAAAAGCTGGGAGACTGCCTGCAAAGTTTACTCCCTTGGAATATTAAAAGTGCTGTTTTCTAAGATTAAACCATCTGGTTTTGCCTTTGATTGATTGATTGATTGATTGATTGATTGATTGATTGATTGAGCGATAATTATTTCATTCATTTATTCATTCATTCATTTGTGTTGTCTTCTACTGGTTGAGACACTTCTGTCCCTAATGATAGTTACAAACTTTTCTGGTCTGCTTCCCTCTTTCTTCACACAGCTGCCAAGATTGCTGGCCTCTACAATGACTCCGAGCCGCCACGCAAAACCATGCGCCGTGGAGTGCTGATGACTCTTCTCCAGCAGAGCGCCATGACTCTTCCATTGTGGATTGGGAAGCCTGGAGAAAAGTAATTGCTGGGAAGGTGTGGGGGGTTCTGAGCACCTGAAGTCCCTCTTCAGCCATGGATTAGACCCGTTTGTCTGGTTTTTTATGCAGGCCACCTCCCCTTTGCGGTGCCATCCCTGCCTCTAGTGATTATGTGGCCAAACCAGGAGATAAAGTGGCAGCTCGTGTCAAGGCTGTTGATGGGGATGAACAGTGGATCTTGGCTGAGGCTGTGAGCTACAATCATGCCACCAACAAGTAAGTATTCGTGGGACTAGGATAGTGGCATTGAGAGTCTTCAGGTTGTTGTTTTTTACTTTAATAGACAGTGTTTTTACGTTAATAGATAGTGTTTTGGTAATTAAGAACAGTAGTTGTTTGTCTTGGAAACAGTCATTTTGAAGTATGTAGATATGGTAGGTAAAGGCCATCTTGGTCTAATGATTAAGGTGCTGGATTAGGAGTGTCACACCTGCCTTGAGCACAGAAGCCACCTTAGGCCATCATTGTCTCAGTCCAAGAAAAAGACAGTGGAAAACAACTTCCAAAAACGTTGCTGAATGGGCTTGCCCATATACCGTATTTTTCGGAGTATAAGATGCACTCCCCCCCCCCCAAAAGAGGGTGGAAATGTTGGTGCATCTTATACAACGAATACAGCCATTTTTAGCCTCCCAAAGCCCCGCCCTGCTTGTCCTATTTTTGCAAAAAACGGGGGCGCTTTTGCCCTCCCCCAGCCTTCAGGAGCACTCTGGAGGCCTCCCAAACCCTCTGTGTGCCCCGTTTTTGTTTTTGTTTTGCAAAAGCAGGCCTGTTTTTACGAAAAATGGGGCGCAGAGAGTTTGGGAGGCCTCCAGAGTGCTCCTGGGGGCCGGGGAGGGCAAAACCCTTTTTTTCTTACTTACCTCTTCGAAATCCTGGTGTGTCTTATACGCTGGTGTGTCTTATAGTCCGAAAAATATGGTAGTCACCCAAAGTTTAGATTGGCATTAGATTGTTGTGTGGTGTGTATGTGTGTATTCAAAACCAGTCTGTCCTCAAAGAGAATAAATTTGGCAGTACTACAGTATGTGTGGGTGTGTGCACGCATGGTGTATATGGATACTTGATTTCCTTATTGATAGGACCCGGTTCGTGCAAGTTGAAAGAAAAGTTTCCAATTCCATCTCCTTAAGTACAGGTTCCCCACAGGGTTGTGTCTTTTGAGTCTGTTACTGTTCACCTAGATGACTCATGACTGCTGTGCCAAGTCTGCTATGAATCATATTGTGAAGTATGGATGACACGGCAACGGTGGGTCTTATCTGGGATGACAATGCAAATTCTTATAGGGAAGAGGTGAAGGTTTTGGTGGATGGGTGCAATAAAATAACCTGGCTTTGAATGTTAACAAAACAAAGGAGATCATTGTTGATTTTAGAAAGAGATGGCATAATCATACTCCACTTTGTATCAAGGCTATAGCTGTGGAGGTGGCTCAATAGTATCTGGAGGTGCAGATAATCAACAATCTGACTTGGTTTCTTCATACGTTACTTTAGTGAAGCTTGCAAACCAGTGTCTGCATTTCCTGCGTCTGATGAGGAGAGCACATCTTTCTCCTTTTGTCCTGGCCACTTTTTACAGGGACATGCTTGAGAGCGTTTTAACAAACTGCATCACTGTTTGGTTTGGTGGCCACAATGCCTCAGCTAGAAAGTCCATACAGAAGTGGTAAGGACAACTGAGAAGATTATAGGAAGCTCGCTTCCAATTATTCAGGATACTGCTTATAAGCACTGTGCACTTAGAGCTCAGAGCATTGTTAGAGACCCCACATATCCACTTTACAGTCTGTTTCTGTTGGGCAAGAGGATTCAAAGTATTTCTAGCAGGACTACCAGATTCCATAACAGCTTTGTCCCTTATGTCATCCATCTTTTAAATTCGTAAGATTCGGGGAAGGTTTCTGCCATGTATATGTGTACATCTGAACTGGACTGTGACGTTTCTTTGCATTATACGTGTGTGTGACTGTGGGTATATGCATAATGGTTATCTTTTGAGAGCTGAATGCAACAAAATTTCATTTTAATGTATGCTGATCAGTGTATATTTAAAGTGACAATAAAGTGTGTTTTTTTATTCTATGTGCTTCATGCCTGTTGAGCCTAAACTATTATATGAATCGGTGCAAGGGTCCAAAAGAGATTCTTGTCTGAGAAGTCAGAAATGTGTTGCATTGATTTTGAAGACATGGGAAAACCATCTTTTTTTAAAAAAGGCCTTCATAGACCGTGTATAGGTTTTCTATGTCATCCCAGATCTTTTCTTCTTTAGCCTTCAACTGCCACCATTTTCTCAAGTTGAAATGGAATGATCCTAAGACAGGATGAGAATAGGAGAGGACAGAAAAGAGAAAATAAGTTGATTGACAATTTAAAATCATTGGTTTTCTGGGATCCTTTTTAGTCAGGAACCCCAATTTTCCTAACCTAAATGTTGCTAACAGAGGCTCTAAATTTAGGTTCCAAAGGGTTTTTTGTTTTTGTTTTTTAATGAGGGGAGTGGCTAGTTAGTCCTGCTTAGTCATAGCCTTTGGTCTATCAGTCATGTCTCCCCATGCTAACATAAGATTCTTATGTGCTAAATCATTACAATGTTAAAGAAGTCAGTACTAACCCATTCTGCAGGTTACACCTACTTTGAGGAAGGTCTCTTTCCTTTCACTGCAGTACCAGAAATAGCTGCAGAGCTTCATTGAGACACATGCTAACATTTGCACAAATAATAGACAAGATTCTGTGCTGGTAATTGTTATTATTGGTTATCTTTCTAGGGTGCATTAACCACATTTTTCTGGCAGGTTGCAAAGTTTTACTAGCATGCTTTAACTTCTCACTCTAATCTGAAGAAATAAATGAACCAAAGGAAGGTGGGTTTTGACCTTTTAACTATCTCATGGACATGTTGTGTGAGAATTCATCTTGGTTACTTTTTCTCTGGGGGCATTCCATTTGGATTTCTTCAAACTCTCATTCAACATTTTCTCTTCTTCAGATATGAGGTGGATGACATTGATGAAGAAGGAAAAGAGTAAGTGATTATAGGGATTATTAAAGGCAGAGGTATGCCTTGTCAGGCCCAGGACCTAGAAGCTTTGAAAGAGATTTTCAAAATACTTCTCAAAATTTCTAATGTGATTAGGGGGAGAATTAAATATATGTCAGTAGTGCATGCATATTCACTTTATTTAACCTTAATTATATTTATAATTAAATGAAACGTATGTATATTTTATTTAATTAATTTCAGTAGGCACCTATCTCAATCAGTGACTCTGGGCGGCCTACATCAAAAAAACATTAAATAATCAAGAATAAATATATATAGCTGTTAAGTAAAACTATTGCAATAGATATGGGGCCCTTAACACACTTGGGGACCCAGGCCCCAGTACATAATCAAGTCTTTGTGGCCTTGTGAGAGTCCAGCAAGGTTGGGGTTATCCTGATCTTTGATGGGAGAATGTTCAGAAGAGAATGTTGCATGTTTTGGCCTTGAGTGTTCCCCAGTCTGCTTCCTGAAATTCACCTGTGTCCCTCAGCCCTTCCCCCCACATATTTTGGCCCTGAATTATGGGGCTTTTGTGAGAAATCTGCTCATCTTGACTTCTGCTTTTCCACAGGCGTCATACCTTGAGCCGACGTCGCATCATCCCTCTGCCTCAGTGGAAGGCCAATCCTGAAACAGACCCCGAGGCCTTGTTCCAGAAGGACCAGTTGGTCCTGGCCTTGTACCCACAAACCACCTGCTTCTACCGAGCCCTTATCCACGCTCCACCTCAGCGGGTAAGGAAGAGACTGTAGGAGTTTTCCTCAATAAATTGCTTCTTGTCCTGCCTTCAGGTGCTTTGAAGAATAGCTTGACTTTCTCTTCTTTGTGGCAACCCCTTGTCCTCCAAACCAACTACCTCTGAAAATTCTTTATAGAAAATTGCTCTGAACTTATTTGTTCTCTCACCATCTCATTTTGCCAAATACAAAACCCTTGATGTTTTCTTCAGCACTGGAATTTCACTTGATCAGTGTTACATTGCTTTATCCCTTAGTTATCATATTCCTGGTTTAGCAGGAATATCCGTCTCTGTCTTAAATTAGAAGTGCAGATAGAAAGGAAATAGATTTGAAAGTCAAACTTTCTAAGAAAAAAAAAAAGAAGCTAAATCATAATTAGTTGAGAAGCAACAATGGGAGATGTTGCATTCTGGATCAACAACAATTATTGTAAATGTGTTGAGGCATAATGGTGAAGTAGCTAAGTTGCTAGTGTGTGGAAGGAAAAATATTTTATTATTTTGTAATTATTAAATAATTAAATTAAATATTAATTAAATAATATTAATAAATAAATATTAAATAAATAAATAAATAAAAATATTAAATAAATAAAATTAAATAATTATTAAATCTGTGAATGCAGAGGTATATAATTGTAGTTGCTACTTCATTACATGTTACGCATTACGTGTTTTACGGTAATTATGAAATTTGGGATATAACCTTCAAGAGATAGATAGATAGAAGACAGATAAGACCTTTCCCGAAAATAAGCCCTAGCTTGATTTTTACATGTGTACCCAATATGGCTAGGTAAGGTCATGCCCACTCGGGTTGCACCTGGTTGCACGGGGTGAGGCGCACAGGTAAAAATCAAGTGGGGATGGGGGGGGTTGAGCTGCTTACCTTCAGACAGTTGCAGCCAAGCCTCGGACACTCTGACACCTGCCTCGCCTTTCCGGCCCACTTCTGTGGCTGCTTTCTGCCGCTTGTGTGCATCATCCCCAGCTTCCATTTCACCATCAGGGGCCTTCTGGAAAGGCCTTTGAAGCTGAGAAACAAGCTCCGGATTGATGCCTTTGAAGGCCTCTGACATCTAAACAGAGGCTGGGGGCACTGCGCGTGTCAATCCGGAGCTTGTTTCTCGGCTATAAAGGCCTTGCCTGAAAGCCTCTGATGGCGACGTGCGCGAGCAGCAGCAAGTGGCCACAGAAGAAGTGGCCGTCAGCCACAAGGGCTCCTGCTGGGCGGGGCCGACGGTGTTGCCGCTGCAAGGTGAGACAGTGGAAGACATCTCCTGAAAATAAGACCTGGTGCCTCTTTTGGAGGCAAAAAAAAAAGACCAGTCTTATTTTCGGGAAAACACGATAGATAGATAGATAGATAGATAGATAGATAGATAGATAGATAGATATGGAGAGAGAGAGAGAGAGAGAGAGATGAAAGAGATGAAGTTGGCAAATGACTGTTACAAAGTCATGTATGAGAGTCCATGTTCTTTGTAGCTCTGGATACAGGAAAACAGGAACATCTCTGAAAATTTCCCCAATCCATTCATAATTAGGGTCTAAGAAAGCTTTTGTTTGTATTAGTAAGATGCAATTTTTAGTAAGATAGTTCAGTGCTGCAGGACTGAAATGTGGAAATAGCCAGAAAAGTGTGGGAAAGAACAGGAAGAAGGGAGATAGAGACAGATGAGGTAAGGAGAAGACTGAGAAGAAAAGGAAGCTGCTTAATAATCTAGTGGAGAGGATGAATGAATGGCCATCCCTCTGTAAGAGGTAACTAAATCCATTTTCTCTCTTGGCCTCAGCCCCAAGATGACTACTCAGTCCTCTTTGAAGATACCAGCTATGCAGATGGCTACTCTCCCCCACTCAATGTAGCTCAACGCTACGTTGTGGCTTGCAAAGAAACAAAGAAGAAGTGACTTTGCCCTGCATCTGCAGGTTGGTGTGGAACAAGATCTATCCCAGTGGACCTCTGCAGAGGGACAATAAGTGAAGTAGGAAGCAACAGAAACCAATCAAGAGCAGGAGTCTAATTTATTAACCTAAGAAGCTTGCATTCCAATACAACACAGGCAGAGAAATAATTATATGATTGCTTCCAAAAGTTAAAGACTGTGGCAGGAATCGATAGTTGCTTTGGAAGCAGCAAACTACAATTCTTTGAGTAAAGAACAGACAATTGTTTGTTATTTGTCAGTTTTTGTTATTTGGATTTTTAAACTTGCAGCTGTTTTATTTTATTTAGGCTGCCTTTTTGGCATGCCTCAAATTAATGAAGTGCTGCGTACTTTACATTCTTTTCCAGTTCTTTTTTTCCCCTGTATTAAGAAGATTGCAAAATGTCCTGTCTTGGAGAAAAGATTTGGAATTAAATCCAGCAATTGAAACATAAGGACTTGACCTGAATTTGTGACTTTCTAAAGGAAAGTAGGAGAGGATTTGGGTTTTTTTTAAATTTCATTTTGGGGTGAAAAAGATGACTGGGACTACTGGTCAGCTATAGAAAATAATTTTACTAATTGTTCCTATTGCGCAATTTCCTATTTTATTCATTTCACCACTTGCAAAAAAAATTAAATCAAAGGGGTGTTGTTATTCTTATGTGACTAGAATTCCAATAGAATCTTTTTTCAAGGATTGGAACATTTTCAAAACCCGGGGTGGTGACTTGGAACTAGTATCAAAACAACAGATTACATAATTTTATTTTATTTATTGCATAAATTATAACATTTAAACCACATAAGAATAAAAATACAAAAAACAAAGTAGAAAAGAAGTAACTACTAATCAAAAACATGTTTTGAAGAAGAAGAAAAAATCATAATGCATTCAATAATAATTGCTGTCTTCAATAGAAATTATACAATTGATAGTTTTCTGAAATATATCAAAGCAGAGCATATCTATATAACATTTTTTAAAAAGTTATTGGTAAGTACAAAAACCAGATAATAGTGGCTCTCAATCTCTAGAATTTTCACCGGGAAGAATTATGGAGCTAGAAATTATATTTCCAGAAATAGGGACATTATAAACATTTGATTTCTTTCTTCTTTTCTGACAGTTTTAGTAGAACCCTTAAGTGGCGTAACACCATTCTCCATCTAATGAGACTCAGTTTGCATCCTAAAAATTTTCTCTTAGTTTCAGATAATACTACCTAACACAGATTAGATATTTTTTCCTTTCACTTCACCATTTTTTAAAATTAGACTTCAGAATATTGTGATGAAGTGTTCTTAGAAACTTAAAAACTTGCACTTGTGTCATAAAACATTTTGGCCCAATAAAAATAGTCCCAAAGATGCTTTTTAAAAAGATTATTGGACTTCCTTAGTTTTTTTTTCCTTGAAAATGTTTCACTTCACTTCACTTCAGAATTGAAGAATCCGCTTCTCGGATGAGAAGCGAAACGTTTTCAGGGGAAAAAAACCCCAAGAAAAATCCAGTTGCTTTTTGAAAAGCATCCTTGGGACAACCATGACTTGGATGATTAAAAATCCATAGATATTTTTGCCCAATAAAAATATTTATAAATTTAGGGGGAAATGGGAAAAAGGACAGCATTGTTTCTTTTTAAAGAGAGATGTTTATGCAAATATTCAAAAATGAATTCTAGTTGGTGTCAGCTAGAAATGTCTTTTTACCTACCAATTTTTGAAGTGATTTTTTTTCTTTAGGAACAGAAACAATAGCTGTCGTGAAAACGTTTTATGTGACCCTTTGTTGATGAGGAAATTGGAAAAAAAAAATGCATAGCACAATGTTCCTCAATAAATCAAGCTTGAACTCAGAATAAACAAAACCTTACCAAATAAACCTGGGCCTGCTATCACCTTTCAGTTTTCTTCTGTTTCAGGAGGTTGTGAGATGATAGGAAAGGTTGGGAGGGAAGAAGCGACCCAAGGTTGCTCCCTGAATAAAATTAATCAATAGACCACCAGGTTGAAAGGCTACTGCTGTTACTGTATTGCTGACTTTGGGACTTTTCTCTTGGTACCACATACCAACTTTACTGCCTACAACTTTATATGCTTTCCTTTGAGAGCTATTTTTTTCTCCCCCCCATTGCTTGATTCCACAATGAATATTCTCATTTCCCATTGTGTAGGTAAGCTCCGTGCCTTTCTGCTGGGAATGAACTTTATCCAGTGGCCTCTTAAACTCATTAAAGTCCATGAAATCTTTTATATGGTTTGCTGATTAACTCAATGAATTATATTAGGAAGATTTGGGCAGGGACTTTTCCACAGGTGCACGAAACATTTGCTAAGCGTCAGGTGGTCACCCCCTCACTTTGATCATTTTGCCTTGTGTGTAGCAATGGTTATTACGATTGGACAGAAGGGAAGAAGATGTCCTACAAGAGGGAGAAGTGTGAGGTATTATATTTAGCAGTTTGAAATGTAGGGCAAAGATAAGAAGAAAGGAGATTCATGGCTTGAAAGCATTACCTCAGAAGTACTTTAGTGACCTCAGGTTGTAAGCAGCCCTGAGTTGGAAAGAGTCCACAGCACATACATTTAAATAAGACTAACAATTACTAGTAGTGCTAGTATCACTCCCTCTGTTTTTATTAATGTGTTAGTGACAGTCAGCTCAGCTTTTCAAAAGTGTATTTCTTTGCATCGGCTAGTATTAGATTGACATATTGTTAGGTAAGATACTGATATGAAAATTAAACTTCTGATTCCTGGATTCTCTCCCACGTGCAAATTGATGCAGAAACTGCCTACTTTTCTTCCTTGCTACACAGATTTGCTTGCATGATGGGCCCCCCTTCTCTTTATCTTACAGTAGACACTGGTCCATAGCTGGCTGGAGAATTCTGGGAGTTGAAGTCCAAAAGTCTTAAAGTTGTCAAGTTTGAAGACCTCTGGTTTAAGGGCTGATATTATTCACTTCCAGGTACCCAGCCAAGCAGAGTGGCAAGCCCTGTCCCTAGTAACATCCTCCTAGTTGTTCTCTCATTTGTAAGAAGCCAGTAGCTGTATTAACAAAATATACTAAGCTGACTTCAATGCCCGATGATCTCAAAAGAAATAAAATATTTAGCATCACCCAAATATAATTTGCCTTTCTGTTTACTCTGTTGAACAAAGCCAAGTTTGGGAATTATAAACAATGGTTTATAACTTACAAGTAATGTTAACATTGTAGTTAGCAAACAAAACTTGGCTTCATGTAGTGTGCAATAGAGCCAGTATCAAAAAAAGAAAGGAACGGGGGGCGGGTGTGTGTGTTTCACATCTATTGTCCTTTCTATGTAAATATAGTCCTTGACTTACAATCTCAATTGAGTCCAACATTTCTGCTGCTAAGCGAGACAGTTTCTAAATGAAGTTTGCCCCATTTTATGACCTTTCTCGACAGACTTGTTAAGTGAATCACTGTAAGTGTTAGTCACACGGTTGTTAAGTGAATCTGGCTTCCCCATTGACTTTGCTTGTCAGAAGGCCACAAAAGCTGATCACATGACTCCAGTACATTGCAACCGTCATAAATATGAGTCAGTTGCCAAGCATCTGAATTTTGATCATGCGACCATGGGGATGCTGCAACAGTTGCAAGTGTGAAAAATGGCTACAAATCATTCTTTTCAGTGGCGTTGTAACTTCGAACAGTCACTAAATGAACTGTTATAAGTTGAAGACTATCGGTACTAGTGGGTTCCAAAAAAAGAGAAAAAAAGCAAACTGGGAAGAATCAGCTAGAATGAAAGGCAGAGATTTTATTACAGTGGAGAGTGTCACTATGAACATCTCGCCTGGTGCCACCAGTCCTTAAGATCTAGAATAGTCCTTTTTCCTCTTCAAAATTCCTTCCTCAAAGCCCAACTTTGGTTTTTGTACAGCCTCCTAGTCTTCATTCCTAACGGTAACCCTCCACTCCAGTAGTGAAATGTAAAATTTGTTACTACCAGTTTTGTGGGGATGGCTTTGGGGGGTGGGTGGGTGGGGTGGTAATATGACTGAGTGGGCGTGGCCAACTTTTTTTTTTTTTTTACTTTTAAAACCATTTTTTCTACAACCTCTGGATGAAGATTTTTTTTCCTTGTGCTAATCAAACTATGCTGAAAATGAAACTGAAAGTAAAGCAGCCTGTTTGCTGTTTGCTGCAAAATTGCTCAGAGGCAGAGGGAGATTTCTTTTTCTTCTTTTCCTCACCAAAAAAGGTAGGTGCGTCTTATACTCTGGTGCGTCTTATACTCCAAAAAATACAGTAACTGCTGGGAGGCAGGGGCCAAAGAGGGGGGGCCAGTGGGTGGGCAGGGCTACATTTGGTGTATAAGACACACCTAAATTTTCACCCCCTTTTAGGGGGGGAAAAGGTGTGTCTTATACTCCGTACAGTATGTACAGTGCATTCAGAAAGTATTCAGAGCTCCTTCACTTTTGTCAGTTTTGTTAAGCTGCAGCCTGATTCTACAGTTGTTGAAATTCATTTTTTTCTCATTAACCTGCACTCAGTATCCCATAATGACAAAGTGAAAAGAGAATTTTAGAAATGTCTGTAAATTTTTTTTTTTTAAAAAACTGAAATATCACATTGGCATAAGTATTCAGACCCTTCACTCGGTACTTTCTTGAAGCACCTTTGGCAGTAATTACAGTCTCAGGTTTTTTGGGGCATGACGCAACAAGCTTTGCGCAAATGGATTGGGGGATTTTCTGCCCTTTTTCCTTACAAATCCTCTCAAGCTCAGTCAGGTTGGGTGGCGATTTTTTTAAAAAAATTAAATAAATTTACAGACATTTCTAAAATTCTGTTTTCACTTTGTCATTTTGGGGAACTGAGTGTAGATTAATGAGGAAAAAAATGAATTTCAACAACTGTAGAATCAGGCTGCAGCATAACAAAATTGTCAAAAGTGAAGTTGGTCTGAATACTTTCTGAATGTACTGTATATATGAGGACCAGTTGTTACTACCACTGTTCAAGCACTGTCATAAGTTTGAATGGTTGCTGAATGTCATTAAATGAGAACCACCTGCCACACTAAAAATAGCAAACCTTTTAGAATTCAGAGAGTTATTCTGACTATTTAAAACAAAAAGTATTTACCTTAATATTATGGTGGAGCATTAAGCATCATATAAACCAGGCGTCCCCAGACTTGGCAGCTTTAAGACTATGCTATGCTGGCTGGAGAATTCTGGGAGTTGAAGTCCACAAGTCTTAAAGCTGCCAACTTTGAAGACCTCTGATATAAACACATTACAGGTAGTCCTCCACTTACAATCACAATTGAGCCCAAAATTTATGTCAATTTAAATCAAGTTATTTTTGCTCCATTTTACGACCTTTCTTGCTACAGTTGTTAAGTGAATCACTGCTGTTGTCAAGTTAATAACATGATTGTGAAGTGAATCTGGCTTCCCCACTAAC